GCGACTCGGGTGTCAGCGCCGCAGGCCAAGGTAGATGTATGCCAGGCGCGTCGCAGCGTAACAGTGTTTCGTGAGATATCGCGAAGCCTGTTACGCGAGACGTGGTCTGGCGTACATCTACCTTGTAGTAAGGACTTTGGTTGTCTCCACTTCTGGCTCTATACTAAAGGAAACAGGAGACATAGGTCTAATGCCATGCCAACTAGTTTAGCCTATCTGCTTGTCATGCCTGCTGTTATTATTGTTGTTTACATCATCTCCCCTCTGCTCTCTTCTCTCTGCTTTTGTTTCGTTTATATTATTGTTCATATTATTTAATAGATTGTTACTAATCTCTAATGCTGTCTGACTAGAATCTTCAACTATCTCTGTATCATCTACAGGATTATTATTAATAGTAGGGGGTTGACTTTATATTCAGCTTCCATGTCATCATCATCAGATTCAACTGATTTGGTTTGTGTGCGCAGTCTTCTGCAGTTTGATATGTAGGTTCCTAGGATAGCTTCAGAGTCCCACTGAATAGTTTTGGGGTCGCCCTCAGCCTCTTTAGAAATTGTCAAGGAATAGGCTGAAAAGAAAAATCATAGTCATGGCTACAAATCAAAAATGAATTTACAGTATATTCAGAGAACCATTCCAGGTTTATTACACACTAAATGGGTAAGGACAATTGTTGTATTTAGGCAAGATGTGTGCAAATCAGTTTAAAATTGTTATCTTTGTTACATACAAAGTAAAGCTTTTGTACCTGGCCTAGGTACAAATTCGACACCTTGGAATAAAAGGCACGCAGTTCTGCCGCTGGATCCGACATACACGCAGTTCGGCCGCTGGATCCGACATCCACGCACTTCGCACGCTTGATCCGAGATCCACGCAGTTCTCCGCTCCCCATTATGGTTCTAGTCCTCAAAATTTAACATTAAGACATTTGTGAACCCTCAAAGTTCATGTGTAATCTTTGTAATCACGTAATCCTTTGTACATCCAAAATCGAAGTGGTGGCCACATCGAAAATTCTTTCTTTTCTTAATTTCCAGGGGTTGCTGTCCTTCTGGTCCTTTGCCAAGCCGGACGACGAGGATCCCACCAGTCACTTTCTGCGGCTGGGCAGCACAGACCCCGCTGCCCGCATGGAGGCGCTAACAGGGGCTCCAGGCAGCCCTGGAAGAGTACCACTGCAGCCGAACATGATGTTTAACTAGGTAGATGTACGCCAGACCACGTCTCGCGTAACAGGCTTCGCGATATCTCACGAAACACTGTTACGCTGCGA